CTTCACCCATCCTATCTCCCCCCCCCCCTCCCCCCCCTCTCAGAAATTTCCAATATTTGGTGAGACCTAGGAACCTTCTCAACTCCTTTAAACTCCTTGGTAAAGCCCATTCCTTCTTAGCCTCGATTTTGGACTGGATCGTTGCTGCTATTGCCTTGGTCACCATGTGGCCTAGGTACTCCACCTATAACTGTGCCAAGAAATAGTTCTTCAAGTTGGTGTATAACTAATGCTTTCTCAATGTCTCCAAGACTATCCTCAGGTGCCACACATGCTCTGTTTCTGTACGACTATATGTTAGAATGTCATTGAAGAAGACTAGGATGAATTTTCTGTGAAAAGACTGACAAACCCATTTATTAGACTGAAATGTGGCCGGAGCATTGGTGAGACCAAACAACATTACCAAGAACTTGTAATGCTCTTCATGTGTCTTGAATGCTGTTTTGTGCACATCAATTGGATTCATCTGGATCTGGTGGTATCCTGCTTTATGGTTGATTTTGCGAGAAAATGACTGAACCATAAAACTCATCTAGCAACTCATCAATCACAAGCATAAGAAAGTTTATCTAATACAATTTCCTTGTGCAAAGCTTGATAGTCCACCCAAAATTTTCAGTTACTATTATTTTTTTCACCACCGAATTGGAAGAGTGGCTCATATTGGGCATGCTAATTCCAACTTCAAATATCTGTTGGATCAACTTCTCTATCTTATCCTTATGAATTTGAGAATATCGATATGATCTTATATTGATCAGAGGGACACCTTCCTTTAAGGTAATGACGTGCTCATGCTCCCTTAATGGCGGTAATCCTCCCGGTTGCTGAAAGATGTTGGAAAATTACTGCACGAGTTGCTGGACACCTTCGGGGAATTCTTCTGACTCGGTATCTCGAATTTTCTCCATGCTTTGCAACTCCACCAAATAGCCTAACCTTGCTCCCCATAGCATCATGACCACGATTTTGAGTGAGACCATGCTTTTACATAGGTTAGCATCACCTCTCGACACAACCTTCCTATCCTCCACCTTGAACTTCTTCATTAGGGATTTTCAGTCCACCTTCTCCACAAGCGTCTGCAATTACTTCATCCTCAGAATCAAATTAGTTTTGTGCAAGTTCAAGGGATAGAAATTCTCCATCATATGTTGACCACGTAGTGTCAAGACTAATATTTTGCAAATTTCTCGACTTTTCTCTTCCTTCATTGTTTCCATGATGACCCCAAAGCTCCCTGTATCTACCAGCTCCAACCCTAGCTGATCCACGACTTGATTTGATGTGTGGCCCCACTATCCACCAACGCCACAATCGTTTGCTCCTCAATCCGTCCCTTCATCATCATAGTGTGATTCAGAGTAAATCCCGCTACTGAATTGAGGGACACCTCGCTACTTCCAAGTGCAAATGCTCCTCTTCCTCCATCGTGTTTTTGTCAAAATCTTCACTATCTATTTCCTCTTTCTCAAAAACGAACAGGACCCGAAGCACACGCTCCTTGTGGCGGTGGCCTGTGGCATACTTCTTGTCACATTGGAAATATAATCCTTTCACTCTCTTATCCTGCACTTCTGTCTCGATGAGATGCTTGAAATTGCCCCCAAATTAGGGTCCATCATTCCTCTCTTTTGGCACCTTTTTCTAAAAGAACATTGTTTCAGTTTTCAATGTCATGGCCATCGAGACACTCTTGTAGAATCCTCTCGCAGTGCCGCCTTTGCCGGTATTTTTCATTTTTTTATTATTTTCGACCATCTAGGCAAGCTGATTCATCTCCTTTATTCCCCACGATCTTAATAGTCTGAGGTTTGCTTGGAATTCGGGCTTTAGGCCCTTCAAAAAGTTTTCCTCCAGTCGCCTCGACAATAGCTCGAACCTCTCCCTGTATTATGTGACCATCCACTCTTAAGTCAAAGCATAGAATTGTTTGTGTAGGACTCCTTCCCGAATGACTCAGAAACGTTCCAATAAGTAATCCTTAAACTCCTCCCATGAATGGAACGGGTCCTCGCCTCTATCCACTAAATTATGCTAGGGTTTTTTCCTTCAAACATAACCTCACCGCCTTGCGCTTCTCTTCCCCAGTTAACCCATTTACTGTAAATTATCACTCCACACCCAATGTGCATATTTCTCTTCAAAGATCAACATCTTTAGTTTTCTCACATTTGCGTTGCCTCTCCAACTTCCTCTTCTTCCTGCGTTTCCTCTCATGTGGTTAGGGTGAAAATCCCTCCAATTTTCGTCCCTCCCCCGTCCATCATAAGTTTTTACTCCACCCCCTCTTAAAGCCCTAGTGGGAAACTCTTGATGGTAAATGTTTTCCTCCTCGTGGCTCTCTCATTCGATCTCTTTCTCCTTTGATTTGGCCACTGATTCTCTGATTAGCCCATGTTCGGTTTTGCAGTTTGAGCCATCGACAGGGTCTTGGATTGCATCTCAATGAGCCTCTTTATCATCTTCTAATGGATTTCAAATTTGTTCTTCATTCGGTTTTCCATGGAAGAAAACTTCTCGAGTCGACCCTCCATTGGCTTTCTATGGAAGAAAACCTTTCCTCTATGGTGTAAAATTTTCTTCCATCATTGATTTGATTTGCCCTACTTCTCTTTCAAACACGTTCACTTTCTTTGCTGCCATTCCTCTCTAATACGAATTTGATACGCTCCGGGACCAAAATCAGCGAAAAAAAGGCATGAATTAAGTGGGAAAACCTAAAATATGGCTAATTTTATTGATCTCCAAGCAGATCAACATGATACATGGTTGTTCTATAATTTGAGAGGTAGATCGTCTCTCCACTCTCAACCTAGAGGCCCTTAGGAACAAGACTTTGAAGGGAAAACTGCAAGTAAACATAACATAAAGCAAACCCTAGATACTTAGCCCTCATAAATACCCCCAAGATCCCCTTGAATTTCCCCATCCCCCAAAACTCCCTCTAATTCTCCTTCTCTTGTACAAGATTAAGGGCTGCATGGGTTCCATCCAACCGCTGGAATCATCCTCGGCTGCTCCTAGGGTTTCTGCCCTTCCTAGGTTGGGCATGCTGGATCTGGCTAGTAAAGAAGTCTCTCCTGGACCGGTGCGTGTGTAGATCCCCGCAGAGTCGGCGTTCCTGGCAGAGCCGGTGTATCACTGATCTCATGAACAGTTGAAGAAGTTTGCAAGAAGCATTGGGACCCCAAAGTTCACTCGAACGTCAAAGCTCGAATATGTTGGTAGTTGTTGACCGTATACCTAAATACTGCCACGGATAGTTTTTTCTTCGTAGGCATGCAAGTACAAATTCAACTGTTAGATTACTAAAAATTCAAAATACGATTTCAAAATTTAAATTTCCAGACAAAATGACCGATAAAACACAAACATTTTGTTTTCCTGCGACATTAATCTTGGTCTTGCATCAATTATAATAGTGAAACCTACATCTGCAATCATCTATTTCCCTTTCGTAAGTTGTTTTTTTCTCCTTTTTAATGAAGACTTGTATCTGCAATGAGAAATTCTTATTGATATCTGTCGACAGGTTTGTATGTCAGGATCTCCAAGGATCGACCATAATGTCAGTCCAACTCAAAATGATCAATGCAATCTAAATATTTTGTTTTCCCGACAACTATAAACTTTGAGTTCAGAATCAATTATCTTTTTTAATCCACCTGCATTTGCAATTAGATGAATCCATCATTCTTTTTTCATAATATGCTATTTTCTGCTTGTAAGAATTACATCTCCAATGAGCAATTTTCTTTCAGTCATCTGCTGATAATTTTGTTTATTAGGATCTCCTAACAAAACTTCATATAGGTTCAAGTAGCTGAGGTTTAAAAACTCTAGAAGCAGCTTGCTCTCGTCCACATTATTAAGTGTAATCATAGAATTTAGATAATGAAATCAAATTGCATGATAGATGCCATATTGCGAATAACTGGGTGCACTCTTTGCATTAATTTTTTGATTGTTAGTTCTGATTAACATTTCGACTATTCAAATATTGCAGTTGGCCATGACTTGGGACCAAGCTTGCGTGAAGTTTGTGCTGCTAATAGGGCTGACGAGAAGCAGGTATCTATCGGTGCGGTTCATTCTTTTAATTTCTAAATTTAAGAAGTTACTAAAATAGTTCTAATACTTTTGTAGCAAATAAAAGCACTGCTCCAAGGTGCAGGAACTTCAATGTGTCCAGACCAGTCCGACTGGTTTGGTGATGGTGTTGGCGCTCATTCTCGAAGTGCTGATCGATCTGTACTTTCTAAATTTTTACAAGCTCATCCTGCGGACTATTCAACCATAAAATTACAGGTAGAATAGTCGATCTAGTTTTTTTTCCTCTTATCATCATATAATATAATTTCATGCCAAAAACCTCCCTTTTAAGATGTTTATGGTGATCTTATCGAAGGTGTCATCATGCCAGTACATTAATTGTTTCGAATAATTTTTTATTTGAAATTAATTTATTTTTTTAGTTTAATGGGTATTCATTCATTCAGAGTGGTTTTGTTGACATCTTTTTTTTTTTTTTTTGTTGGTTTCTGTAGTATTATTGAGTGAGTTTTCCCCTGCTATTTCTTCACTAGCAAGAATGTAAACTTTACCAAGCACATGAACCTAAGTTTATAATCTAATTTGAGATACACATGCAGTTGTCAAGCCTTATAGTTATTTTATTATATTTTTAAATTAATAAATTCAATTATAAATTATCTATTTTTAAATATAATATTGTTTTAATCTGTTTATTAGAAAAATGTTTCAACTAAATTCCATAAAAAATGTGAGGTTTAGTCTATAGTGTTGCAATTTCTAATAAAACAATTACTTTGCATACAAAGTTCTAAGATTTATGAGGTACGCCATGAAATTTAATTCTTAATTAGACCAAGGTTTAAAGTTGCAGTATTAATTATTGAGCAATTTTTTGTTGGAGTGGCAAGATGCATACCTGGAAGCATTTTGAGGTTGGAGTGACAAAATTAACAAAGTCTGCAAAATATGAAGTTTTATACTAGCATCAACATTGAAATAAAAAGTAACATATTAATATTAAATCATGAATTAAGAACTATGACACTAACTTCTAAGTAAGAATTTAACTAGTTAAAATAAATTCAAAATAGGACCAGTTTCTACCAAGTTCAACATCGATTCAAATTTTGTCAAACAAGGTTCTAATTTTTTTTGTAACTAGTTTAGAATTGGGTGTGAAGTAAGTCGACATTGAAGGGGGTTGAAGCATTCAACGACCAACTTAGTAAAATGCCGAAGAATATCAATGTCGACTTACTTCACACCCAATTCTAAACTGCTGGCCAACCCTTCCCAAGGAAAGTCATTCCGATAGGCCTTCTTTGCAAGCTTACCCACATGGCTTCATTGTGGATCCTTCCCGCTGGGTTTGGCGCCTGTTTCCCAGATTTTATGCAGCCTGGCTCCTAGATTTTCTGCAGATTTTCTACACTTTACTTGATATCCAACAGTCACGTAGATTTTTTTTGCAATCCAACTTCTACATTTCCTGCATCTTTCCTGTTGCTTTCTCGCATATTTCCTGCATTTTTCCTGCATCTTTTTTGCAGCCTTTTTTGCAACCTCCCTAAAAACTTCCTGCAACTTTCTTGCATCTTTCCTGCAACTTCCTTGCATCTTTCCTGTAGCATTCTTGTATTTCCTGCACTTTTTTGTCAGCCGGTGACTTAAAAACCCATCAATGTCTCAGAATCTCAGCCACATTTCTTTTGGCTTAAGCCGGAATCATCTCAAATCATGCTCAGCCCTCGTCCATGCCACTTTGGACCGATCACTCCACTTGTGTGTTCTGTCACAAACCCAACCAAACTGGGGACAACTGTTGAAAATTTCACAGTAAACCGACATACAAAAAACCTTTGGCCAAAGAGCCTCACGACAACGTTTGATTCTATCATGGTTCATCCAAATTGGACCCATAACATCCCAGAATCCTACAAATATTTGAGAAACCAGATGAAGCAATTGATCAAGCTATGTAGAGCCCATCAAGTCTCTACGGGTCCGTCAATCTCCCACGTCCGACAAGGTACTCATCTTATGGCTTTCACGGTTCATTCCGCCTCTAGCCCAGAGATTATTGATTCAGGTGTCACGTATCATATGATTAGATGCTCACAAGTTTTCTCGACTTACTATCCGTGCTCTGGAAAGAATACCATCTAAATTGTCGATGACTTCTATGGTTCCATTTCTGGTAAAGGGTTGGTTGTTCTAACAACCGATCTAACTCTTGAGACTGTTTTACATATTCTATAGTTGTAATGTAACTTGTTATCTGTCAGTAAGTTCACGAAGGAATTGATTACGTTGCTAATTTCTCTTATGATGGTTATGTTTTTCAGGATCATCTTTCAGGGAGAATGATTGGAAGTGCTAAGAGAGTAGCCAGACTCCATTACTTCCAAGAGCAGCATGGAGAGTGAGGACACACCTCTCAAGATTTGTAGTTTATCTCGAGTCATTGAATGTTCCATTATGTTGTTGCATTGTTATTTAGGTTATCATAGTTTCCAATATTTAAAAAATTTATATCCTTTGATGTTTTCTAATAAAATTTTTTCTAAATTCAATTGTGAGTCTTGGCAGTTAGTCAAACATCATTGTGTAAATTACTCACTCCACACTTACAGTTCTTCCGCTCATTTCTCTATCATTCACAATGACTTATGGGGACCCACTTGCACTCTCAGCTATATCAATAAGCTGTGGTTTCTGAATTTGATTGATGCCATACTCAAATGACGTGGGTCTACATTTTAAAAGACAAATCGGAGGTTGCTGTCACTTTCCAAAACTTCTACACATTCATTTTAACTCATTTCAAAACTCTTATCTAGGTCTTTCAGATCGACAACAGCCGTGAGTTTTTCAACTCTATTTTGGGTGAATTCTTGGTGAGTAAGGGCATCCTCCACCATAGCTCATACCATAGCTCATGTACGCTCATGTACGAACACTCTTCAACAAATTGGGGTGGCAAAGAGGAAAACTGTCACCTCATTGACGTTGCTTGCTCTATTATGTTTCAATCCAATGTCTCGAAACAATTTTGGAATGATGTCATTCTCACTGCCGCCTATCTCATAAATAGAGTCCATTCTAAAATTCACAATTTCAAACCCCCCTTACCGTCTTGATGTCTTGCTTCTCCGTCAATCGGGTTTTCTTCACCTTAGACACTAAGATTTTTGGGTGCTCTGTTTTTGTTCGGAACACTGCCCCAATCAGAGTAAACTTGATCCCAGATCCATAAAATATATCTTCCTTTGGTAATCTGCCACTCAAAAGGGGTATGTGTGTTTTGATCCTACCACTAACAAAATCTATGTGAGTGCTGATGGCTTTTCTTTAAAAGTGTTCCCTATTTTTCTATCTTGGCCTCGAGTGAGAGGGAGTTTGGGCTCTTAGACACTGTCGCTTATTCTACTCCTATGGATGTTCACCTCGTTCTTGTCGCTGGGAGTCCCCTGTTCCGATGAGTGCACAATCCAATTAGTCTTCTGATTCAGTAAGTGCACCATCTCGTCCCTCTATTTGTGTCTACACTCGTTGCACCTATTTCAATGCTTCTACTCTGGAACTCTCTACCTCCTTACAAGACTCTGACTCTACTCTAGGCGACATCCTCAACACCTCCCCTCATTCGGGCGACATCTTCAATGCGTCCCCTCCGAATGAGGAGGTGAGTTCTCCGAGTAAGGTATGCAATCTGACATACTCCCTTTACCCTTTACCCTAAACCCTTCCCCTGAAAGGAACGTAATTGTTTTAAAGTTTTAGGGGGAGGCATTACTAAGATAGCTTTAATCTTTTCAGGGTCGATCTCAATTCCCCGATGACGAACAACAAATCCAAGGAACTTCCCAGAAGTGACACCAAATGCGCACTTTAGGGGATTCATCTTGAGATTATATTATTGTAATCGTTCAAAAACGGTCCTCAAATCATACAAATGATCTAATTTTTGCTTGCTTTTGATGACTAAATCATCTACATAGCATTATACAAAATATGTCTCGTTCCGCAATTTATCATCGATCTACACAGCATTTGCTATTGCCCTTAAGGACCATTAGATCCCGGCTACTATTGAGGTTGCTCTTGTTGACCTAGTCGGGAAAACGACAATAATCGGATGAATCTTCAGTGGAACTATACATGGGATGTCGTTGATCTTCCTCAGGGTAAGAAAATTGTGTGGTGTTGATGGATTTTTAGCACGAAGTTCAACTCTGATTGGTTCTTTGAACGCAACAAAACACGACTGGTTGCCAAAGGGTACTTACAAATCTACGAAATTGACTATGAGGAGACATTTGCTCAAGTGACTAAGTTAAACATTATTTGGGTCCTATTGTCAATTGTGGTAAATCTATATTGACCTTTATTCAAGAATGCGTTCTTGAATGGAGAGCTTACAGAAAATGTATACACGTCTCACCCTTCGGACTTTGACTTCACTGCCTCCTGGGGGCAAGTGTGAAGGCTATGAAAGTTTCTCTATGGGTTAAAGCAGTCCCCAAGGGCCTGGTTCGACAAGTTCACAAAGATTATTGTGGGCAATTGTTTCACTTATGCTCAATCAGATCACACTCTCATCTTTCGAAATTTTTTCAATGGCCAGATAACTATTCTTATTGACTATGTTGACGATATTGTTCTCACAGGTAACGATCTCGTAGCATTGAAGACTTTGAAAGACATTATTTCTAAGTACTTTTCAATGAAGAACTTGGAATCTCTCTGGTACTTCTTAGGCATGTAAGTAACTCGATCTTCTTGGGACATTTGCTCATCTCAGCGTAAATATGTGATTGATCTCTTGACAGAGAACAAATTTTTTTCTATGCAAAGCCGTGACTGTCCTTATGGATCCCAATGAAAAATTATCTGACATTCCAATGTTGTGCTTGTCAAAAAGACTCACTACCAGCGCCTTGTGAAGAAACTTATCTACCTCATTGATACTCGCCTCGACGTATGCCACGCAGTTGGTATAATGAGTGAATTTATGCATGACCCTTATGAGCACCATCTTCAAGCTGTCCACCAGATTGTTTAATATTTAAAAAGTACAATGGGCTTGGGTTGATTTTCTCTCGTCACATCTCTCAGTCTGTTGCTGTCTGTGGTTACCCTGAACGTACAAATCCAGCTTAATGGAAGGTACACATGTGACTCTCTGGTTATGCATCATCCTTCTTGAAATTTGCATGCTAACTTCCGTCTCTCTGCAGCTGTTATGTGATAATAAGATCGTCATCAGCATTGCTCACAATCCAATCGAACATGATCGTACCAAACATGTGGGGATTGACAGACAATTAAGGAAAAAATTGAGTATAGAGGAATTTGTGTTTGTTTTGTGCCCTTTTGTGGTCAACTAATAGATATCCTTATCAAAATTATCACTCGTCTTTTGTTCGATGACTTCAAATCCAAGTTGAAGATGACTAATATCTATGCTTCAACTTGAGAGGGAGTATTAGATTTATAACAATAATCCCTAGCCATTCTTACTTATTATGAGTTTTTATTTCCTCATTATATATTTCCTATTTACTTTATTCTGTGTTATTTCTTTTCTATTTGTGTTATTCTTTTTTATTTCTTTCTTTTGTTGTGTCTATTGTATTGGGTTTAAATAACCCACATTCTATCAATAAAATTATGTTGCTCTATTCCACAATACCAACATTTGTGGTTATCATGTGGGCAAGGTACCATGTTTGGTCCCTCCCACACAATCTATCTGTGTCATTCTTTCTAATTAATATATTATCCTTCGGACATTCTAATATATATATAAATATATATATATATTTCGGCTTCGGGATTTACTTGCGTCGCCTCGCGTTGCGTTCGCGTCTCGTCTGTGACAGAGCCACTCGACACTAAGCCTGCGTCTCGTCTGCGATAGAGCAGCTTGACACCTGCGTCCTGCTTCTGCCTGCTTCTCGTCTGCGACAGAGCCGCTCAACAGCTTCTTCTTGCGTCTCGTCTGTGACAGAGCCGTTCGACACCTTTCTGCTTTTGCTGCGTCTCGTCTGCTACAGAGCTGCTAAACCGCTCGACACCTTCCTGCTTTTGCTGCGTCTCCTCTGCGACAGAGCCGCCCGGTCTGCTCGGCTCTGCCTCTGCCATTTTCCTTTGCTGTCTGCGACAGAGCCCTCCGAGCCGTCCGACACTCGTGCAACTTCTCATTATGCTGCAGGTTGGCACTGACTGCGGTAATGACTTCAGGGCTTTCTTACGCCACCGCCCTCGCCGGTGATAACCCCGCCAAACCCTCTTATGCTATAGTGGTTCACAAACGCAGCTCTCCTTTTCACCTCGCAGATAGTGTGGGATTCCCATAGATTTATCATGATTCTGTTGTAGGAAATGACGATTGCAATCTTATAAAAAAAGTACAGAAAAAGACGGGCAAACTAACAATTTTCTTTTCCGACGTTGAAATTTCAACCAGGAAAATACAAATTTACACAAGTTGGAAAGTTCCAATTAGGTTGCCCTAAAATGGAGCTCATCAGAAAAATTTTTGAAGATTTCAAACTGGTTGGGGATTGACAAGTGGGTCATTTCGACGGAAGGTATGTTATAATACAACTGAGCACAAAAGATGATTACACGAGGATTTTCTTAAAGAAATTGATCACAATTGAGGGCAAACATATGAAATTGCTCAAATGAACCTCCAATTTTGATTCCAGTCAAGAACCCCCAATTGCATCTATCTGGTTCTCATTACCTGAACTCAAACTTTATTTCTTTGACCTACCTATCTTATATGCAATTGAAGCTATCCTTGGAAATCTTTTGCTGGTAGACTTACCTACAATTCATTTCTCAAGGCTCTCTATTGCAAGGATTTTGATTAACGTGATATTACACTACCAGAGGTAGAAGAAGTCTGGTTTGGATTTGCTCACAATGGTTATTGACAAAAAATCATAATGGAACAAAAACCATTCTACTGTAAGCACTACAAGATGTTTGGACACCCGCAGGGGAAATATTTTAGATTGCACCCACAGTTGAGAACCAATAGTCAAAAGCAAGAACATACTATTAGTGCATCCCATGTGCCTGAACGCGCTCCCAGCAAACCTGAGGACAACCAACCTGAGGAGAGAATCACCACAAGACAGGAGTTTGTGTCTGCCCCTGGGATCCCTTCTCATAACCATACTACAACGAATAATGTTTGAACTGAAAATCAGGATTGTCCCGCAACTCCTATTCATGAAGCATCAGGTGCAGAGGTAACAATTCACACTTCACATACACTGGAATCTATCGTGAACCTATCGCGGGGGCAACGACTGTCTTTCCTCCTGCTGCGTTTCTAACATCAAATCAGATCGAGGATCACATGAGCCAGTCTTCAGATGAATGACAGGTTTACACTTCTCGGCAGAAGAAGAAGGCTGGGGGCTAACTCCAACTTGGAAACTTAATGGATGATACTTTGGTGACTCCTGACAATGTCACGACTCTTCAAAGTTTGTTATCTGGTCCCGCTCCTAAAACTAGAGGAAGAGGCAAGACTAAACTGACTCTTTCCTAGCTACTTGTTTTCTGCGTGTTTTAAATTTGTTTTACATTTTATTGAGTCTATTTATATCTTTTTGTTGGGGTATTACTGTACCTGTATCGTTTGGTAGGGTGCCTCTTTTTGGTATTCTCATACAGCCTTAATGTATCCTTTTCTATTTCAATAAAATTAGCCCTTGGGCTTTTCATAATATATATATATATATATATATGTATTAGTCCGTAGAAAAATTTGGATTTTTTAAAAAAAATATTCTTAATTTTTTCATAAGGTTTGAAAAATGGGTATAAAATTTGAGGACTTTTTAAATTAATTTTTTCCTTAAAAATTTGAGTTTTACAATGGGTATGTGTTTTAATAACCTTTTTTTTTTTTTTTTTTTGAGATAACACTTTTGACTGGTTGCTTGTGGGCATTTTTTGTCTATGTTTTGTTATTTTTGTTACCATGGCAATCATCTTACTTTCCTTGTCACAGGAAATGATACGCTTGATGAGGCAAAGACATTTCCCTGCTGCATTTAAGTGTTACCATAACTTACACAAGATAGATTCCATATCAAAGGATCATCTTTACTATAAGATGGTCATCCATGTGCACAGTGATTCCGCCTTTCGAAGATATCAGCAGGAAATGAGGTCGGTTGAGGTTAGTTTGAGCAATGTTGTTCTTTACTCATTGGAAGTAACTTTGGGGGACGTTTTCTTGAAAAATTTCTTGATTACAGGCGGAACCGAGGTTTATGGCCCCTTTATAGAGGTATCATGCTTTATGCTAATTTGACACACATTTTCAATCATATATATATTTTTTGTTTTTGTCATTAAACCCTTCCATTAATGTTGTGTTCGCGTATACACCACTTTATAACCCATGTCTTTTCTCCTAATATTCTTATTTTTTTTTCTCTGGCAGGTTTTTTTGTCGACATTGATTTATTTAAATTACAGAAGGATATGGCTTCTGAACTAGCAAAGGAGAGCACTGCTCTGGTAAAGAATTTGACTAGTAGTTGTGCTTCAAAAATAGAAACAGATGGTCTAGCTGATGAGGATGAAAATTTGATGATCAAATTGAAATTTCTCACATACAAGGTATATGGCAACTTATTAATTGCTTGTTTCCACTGATATAAATATGCACTTATGACAACTACTTCTACTGCTGCATTGTATCATTTATCTATTTACAATGAAATATTTTGTTTCAAGTTTCAATTCTGACTTTTTTTTTTAATCACCGCACTTTATTATTTGCGGATTAGAAAAAAATTTTTTTTTTTTTTTTTTGGTTTTTTTATAATTTTTGGAACTGCAGTGTGTGTTTTGGCAATTAAAAGTTATGATTGATAAGTGAGAATGTTGTAAACGTTTCCAACTATAATACTATAATGGAGAAATTGATCTAACCAAGAGCAAGAAACATGAGTAGATTGAAAGAGACATTTCATTAATTATGAAAAAATTGGGGTTAGTGGAGATTTGTACACCCAAAATTGTGAATTTTTGCACCAAAAAATTCAGGGAATCACTCACCCGTTGTTTCTGGTTGTCACCCCAATTGGAGGAATGACTCACTTTGTCCTTAAGTTGTTTTTCAAAATCATTCCATATTTATGCAATTTATAGTAACATACATGTTCTCTTGGACAATTAGAGGAGGTTGTTAATTGGTAGTTATATTGCAAGATCCTGAACCATAAATGCTTGCTGATGCTGTTTGAGATGCTATATCGGTGAACCGAGCACCAACATTGGAGCGACAAGTCACGCTGGTGTGGGGTGTCTTATTTACCTGGACCGATTCGATCAAGGGTTATTGAGGGCCGGCCAACACTCAAGTTTTGGGAGTGCCGCATCTTATTAGGAGAGGACCTACTCTTAATTATATACAAATACATATTTTCTTTTGTTGGTGTTTCAAATTTACTTTTTATGTGACTTGATTTGGGACAACCATTGACATTTTTTTCTCCCTCTATGAGAGGCGTCCTAGGGTTTCAAGTGGTGCTCTTGTTGTATCGTGGTCTTGAGATGGTGTTTATTCTTCCCGTACTTGTCCCCCATCCTTTCTTGCATCGCTTCTACATTCCCTTCATTATTTTCCTGCTACCATTGCCCAGAAACCTGCTATTTTTTGTGTCCAACCCGCTGCCGCCACCCATGGAAAATAGGTTGTTGAAGTTAAAAAATAAATTATTATAAAAATTATTAATGTTATTAATTAATTTTAATTAAACTTAAAATAAATTTAATTAATACTAACTCACTGTATAACTTCCCTCACAGTATAACTTCTCCCCTGTGTGAACCCCACGTTCAATTAATAACCATTCCCTCCTCTTTCTTAAAGAGAAAAGGAATCACACACAGAGAATAGAAGTCTGCTCTCTTTCGCACGTCTCTCCATCTGGTTCCCATTTTTCGTGTTTGAACTTAAGGAAGCCTTCATCTCCACTGTTTCCCTTTCGGTTCGTCCCCTTCCTCCAGTTCGAGACCTGCAAGAAGGCTGTAACCACACGACTATCACCTTCCCTCTTCTTCGATTTCATAGCAAATGACGGGATCGTCGCTTGCAAAGATTTCCATAACAACTGCAACATCTTCGACTTCATGAAGCCCTCTCCCTGCGCCAACGCCACACCTACCCAGTTTGCATGTAGGAATGTCGCATTTCTATCTTCCTCTCTATTTCATTGTTCCAGATCATGCTCTCCTCTGCTGCTCCACATGACAGAGCCGCGATCCACTTATTATCCCCCTTCAAACCATAACGCCTTCGACTCATGCAAGATGCGATCCTATATCTAGCCGCAGAAGCTCACATTTTTGTTTTTCACTTGAAATGCAATTGCGGTTAGAGCTAGTCAAGAAGGTAACGACGGGATCACATCGTTTTGAGGCCTCTGAAACTCCCCGTACCGAAATCCTCTGCTACTACACGTGACTAGAGCCGCTCAATCCGCCTGCTCCACAACTTCCTCTTGCGTCTCCCCTATTTGTTTTTCTCTCTTGTACGCAGAAACCTCACAATCCCTGCTCCACTAACGTTGCTTCCTTCGCTCGAATGCCTCATTGCGCTGAACTTTGTGCGATCCTCTCTGGCCTAACCCAAACCCGAAGGCTTCCTATTTTAATCGAAGCCCGCAACCGTTGCTTCCTTGCCATTCCATAGAAGCTCAAATCGATCCCCCCCTGGACTTCCTATTCGAGCCTGAGCACTAAGCCGATCACTCTTCCCAAGCCATTAACACCGAACCCAAGCCCTTCTCTACTTTACTGCTCATACTTTATATTTTATATCCCTAAAAAAGGAAAAGAAAATAAAAAAATCTGTGTTGTATTTATTTTTCATTTTATTTTATTTCGTTGTTTAATCGTTGTCACTTTAAATTTGCGATCGTCATCACTCATCTCACTTGAAAAGGCATAACAAAATGAGCAATAGGGTCATTCCTAAAATATTCATTTGTGGAAGCTCGAGTACCCGTCCTCGGAGTTTACCGTTATGGAAAATTGTGGACTCGTTTGAAATTTTTTTATAAAATTAGGGGTTTTAAATACTTGTCACGGAAATTGCAAGTGCGAGTTCTTGGGAATACTTATCATTCAGAGAATGTAAAGTACCGCTTGGGAAAATCTTGCTTGTGATTTGACCCATTTTTCAGGTATATTGAAGGCCTTTAATATCTTTTAAAATCGTGGGTTAATTACATATATTTAATCCCCAGCCGTAGTGTCTCACGACATTGACCATGATTCTTTCAAGATAATTGGGAAAACTAGCATTCTCTCGATGCCTTCTAATGGGGTTGATGTCGGGAGTCTTCCAGAAGTTTAGGTGTTTTGGATTTGTAAGTTAACTTAAAGTTTTGGACTTTTTGAACTTATAAAGTAATATAAAATGTAGATCATTTGAATTTAAAAATAATTTGAACATGGAATTTTAAATTTTAGGCTCTTGGGGTTTAAAATATTTGGAAATCTGGGTTTTTAATATTTAAGCTATTGGGGCTTAAAATTATTTTAAATTTGAGATTTTAAAATTTTAGGCTCTTTGGGTTCAAATTATCTAAAATTTGAATTTTTACTTTTTTAGCTTTTAGGGTCTCAAAATATTTGGAATTTGGGTTTTAAAATTTGGGCTCTTAGTGTGTGAAAAATGGTTCAAACATCATGCTTTTGTAATTTGAAAATTTACTGCCGAATTCACAATACACCTGTTAGCGAACAAAAGATGATCCCTTTTAAATCCCAAAGATGTAAACATTGCATGCACTTCAACAAAATAAAATGAAAATAAAGTTTTGTAGTTTCAATTGGCTTTAAAGTCTTCAAAGCTTATACAAACTCTGTTTGTTTCTCAAGATCGAATGTAATGTATCAAAATTTGTATGAATACTTTAATAACATCTTTCTGATCAGGTGTAGTGTGAGAGGGAAGGTATGCAACCTTATTTTTGATAAGCAATGTTTGAAAGATGCTAGACTTGGCCACTCTTTAGCATTCTCAACCCTATTCATTGACCTGGTTGAAGGGACATGAGATACACATGGATCAGTGATGTTTGGAAGAGTTTTTTGTCGGGGAACAGTTGTAGGATCATGTATAGTGTGATGTTGTGCCCATTGATGCCTATCAAATTCTGTTGGAGAGATTGCAACAGTTTGATTGCGGGACTCAACATGATGACTTCAAAAGCACCTACTCATTCACAAATGAGGATAAGCGCATAGTTCTTTTGCCCATCAGGGAGTTAGGAGGAGCTAACACTCCCATTGAAGAGGTGACCGTGGTCCCATTTGCCATCTTTGTACTGCTAGTTTGGGAGGCCCCAGCGGCAAATGCCTTAGTCATCCTACTGAATACTGAGGAGATTAAGTCATTAGAGATGATGCATCAACTGCTAGCATACTTTCAGTATTTAATGACCGACAACTTGAGGGACTACCACTTAGAGTCATTCCAAATGTTATAAATCTTATCCCTGGATCGGTTTACCTAACATACTTGCTTACAAATTAAGAGCAGTTGGGTATGATGAGTTGCAATGACAGACACAAGTCCTTATTACTAGAGGGTTGGTGAGGGAGAACAATAGTCCATGTGCTGTTCCTGCTTTGATGGGGCCTAAGAAGAATGATTCGTGGAGGATGTGCATTAATAGTCGAGCTATTACTAAAAACACTATCAAGTACATATTTATTGTACCTAGCATGAATGATTTACTCGATCAGTTGCATGGAGCTGTCATCTTTCCCAAGATTGGCCTATACCGCGGATGTTGCCTGATTATGATGAGGTTAGAAAATGAATAAATGACTACATTCAAGATCAGAGATGAGTTGTATGACTGGACAATCATGCATTTTGGACTATGCAATGCACTTAACACTTTCATGAGGTTGATGAATTGGGTGTTTAGGGCATACATTTGCAAGTTCATAGTTGTGTACTATGCTGACATCCCAATCTACATCAGATTTGAGGAACACTTGCAGCATATGAGGCTGGCCTTTAAGATTCTTTTATTGGAGAAGCTATATGCCCGCCCAAAGAAGAAGCTATGTGTCCACTCCAAGAATTGTCACTTCATGACCACACATGTATATTTTTTGGGTTATATTTTGTTCGGTGTAGACATTCAGATGGACTCTATGAAGATAGAGGCTTTTGTGAGTTGGACACCCCAATAGTCATTTATAGAGCTGAGACAGTATTTGGGGCTGATATCCTTTTATAGGAGATTCATCATGAGTTTCAACACCATTACAACTCCTCTAACAGAGCTCTTGAAAGGAGATAAGTTTCAATGGATTGAGGTTCTTAGTCTAGCTTTGATATCTTGAAGAAGAATGTGACTCAAACCTCATCGTTAGCACTGTTAGATTCCAGTCAATTGTTTGTGGTGGAATGTGATTCTTTTAATGTGGGGATTAGAACAGTGTTGAGCCGGGAAGGGCATCACACAGTCTTCCTTATTAAGAAGTTGAGTGACTCCGGGATGAAGTATTTGACATGATAAGGAATTCTATGCTATTGTGAGAACTCTTCGTCATTGGAGTCATTACCTGCTGACTCGTGAGTTTCCCTTATTCACAGTTCATGAGGCTATGATGTTCTTGAACAGTCAGAGCAAGCTAAAGGGCAGACATACTTCCTGGGTTGACTTCTTGCTTCATTTCAATTTGTTCTTAAGAACAAGGCAGGGTGTTAGAAGTGAGTAGTTGATGCCTTCAACCAACACCACTTATTGATCACCTCCACGCAAGCTAGAGTTGTGGGATTTTAGGCGGTCAAGGAGCTGTACGAGACGGATGAGGACTTCGAGGAGATTTAAGATCAATGTCAGGAGAGACCTACAGAGAAGGCACATATAGATGCTTTACTAGTAATTAGAATTTCTGAAGCAATTTATGTGTCAATGTTTGATTTTTCAATGATCCTTTCTACCTAGATACGGGGTATGATCGAGTTCTGAGATTCAAACAATTACACTTATTGGGTTGGCCTTGAGGAATTGACCATTGATTTATGGGATTTACAGGTAGTATCTGGACTTACGATTTTTGGTTATCGATATGAAAAGTGTATCTCGTCGGATGATGAGTGAAGATGGTAATCGACGAGGCAGAGTAATCCTACCTAAAGTTTTGAACCATTATTGCCGAACTTACAGGGCAACACTATTACGCAAGCGGTCACGAGCAACCATGCCTATAAATTTGTGGATTCAAAGCTTTCTACATAGTGATAACTTATTAGATAGTTCAGCATTGTTCCATGACCCTTCTAAATTAGGGTTGCTTTGCAGTGATCGTCTATCTGTAGAATATGTTATCGTCACTATAGGTTGATCATTCATCTCTAGCTAAGTCAGGTATATGCGAAGAGCTATTTTTAGCCGGATTTCTTGAAACTTGGTTATCCACTTGTGTACTTTCCAGCACCTTGCTGCGACCCACCTTTTGCAGGGAGATCGTCTTTCCCCGACTTCTGTAGTGTTTGCACAGATACATAAAGTTATGCGACTCATTTTAGAATTTAGCTCTCTGGTGCTTCGAGACATCACATTGCCTTGGCAATACTTATTTGCATGGATCCACCTCCACATTCTTGGAGCTTTCTCCTGTATGGAGTGCCCTTCCTATTTTCTGGATTAGTGATTTCCTACAATTCTCCAGCTATCGCAAGCGGCTTCCTCACCAGAACGAGAGTGTGTGCGTTTGTTCTTTTTCAAATCTCACTTGGTTACAGACAAATTTTTCCTTATTCCTCAGTCTAATATTGACATCAATCCAGGCTGCTTTCTTGAGACTGATATTATTGATAGTGTTGACCATAATGATAAATACACTTTACTCTCCCAACTGCGGTTATTGGCAGTTGCAGAATATTTTATTAGCTTATGACTTGAATGACAATATTACAGGTTTAGCGATTCAGTTAGCTCGCCAATTTATACAATCTCAAGCTACAACATATGACAAATGACCTTTTATACATGGAGTTGTTTGCGCTAATTTGATGGACTTAGTACCTGTAACCACCAGATTTTATGTTGATGTTATGGAGTGGGTTCATTTGCTTATACTTGGCATTGGATCGAGATTTTGTATAGCTGCACTAGGTAGCCTCACAGGAGTGAGTTATATTTGGCTGACCTGGGTGAGACTATCTTTTGCCGCTTTCATAGAGCACGAAGCTCGAAAATACGAGCGTAAAGTGAGGTCATTAGGAATACCCGAGGTCAAAAGCAAAATACCAGACCCTACTGAGATTATGATCTATCCTCAAACTCTACATGCCCATCTCGTATGATAGGTTATATTTTTTGTTTATGGTATATTGGGATTTGTAGTCTTTTATCATTTTATTAATAAAAGTTCCCCCTTATACTTTTTCTCTTTTTTGTAATTGAAGTTGTCTCATATTTACTTTTAAAAAATGCATGTTGGCGACCGTGCTCTCAAGCTTGTTATAAGTCGATGACAAAAAAATTTGTTGGGATATTTAACTTGACTTTTGCCATTCACTTTATGCTTTGCTTGGTCTTGATGAAGGGATTGACTTGGATTCCCTCCACGGACTTGTCAGGTGATTGAGCATACCTTCAGTCCTAACTTTGTGCTTTGGTGGACTTGTTAAAGGAATTGACCTGAATTGCCTCCACGGATTTGTCAGGTGAATGAGCATACCTTCGATACTGGCCTTGTGCTTTGGTGGACTTTCTCAAGGAATTGACCTGAATTACCTTGATGGACTTGTCAGGTGAGTGAACATATACCTTTGGTCCTAGTTTTTTGCTTTGATGGACTTGAAAGAATTGACCTGAATTATCTCTATGGATATATCGATTTAGTGAGCACACATTCGATCCCAACTTTGTGCTTTTGTGGATTGATTGAAGGATGCATGCCAATGATCTAGTCTTCGGGCTTTTGTTGAGTCAGTGGCAAGAGTTTGCAGGTCCTATGCTTTGTGCTTTATCGATTGTTTTCACAATTGAATTCCCTTAGTTCAACATTGAGCTTTGAACGAACAATGAGATAACTTCTTCGATCCTTTATTTTATGCTTTGTCGGACTTATTGAGGAAGATAATTTCTTAAGTCCGTGTCTTGTGCATGATCAGATTTTTAGAACAAAATTAGGCTTTCTTTATTTGAACATAACATCAAGCCTGGCTTGCTGCTTTGTTGAGCGACGATCATTCCTTTGATTTTTCCTGACATTTTGACTATTTAAGAATATCTCTTTGATCTAGTTCGCTTGAACTTATCAAGTTGAATATGCTTGAAAGTTGACAGTCTTTGTCATCAGACTAGCAAACAAGGGCTTCTTCACCACAGTCGTTTTTATGACTTATTGAGTGAAAAAGCTGTCAGCGACTCGATCATATTTAGTCTTGTTGAGTCCGACTTTCAGGACCTACTTGAGTCTTATACTTAAACTACATGGAGTTTGTGCTTCTTCAACTTAATAAGCTTAAGCTCATGGACTTGGGAGTCTTCTTTATTATATCGCAAGGTTTTAGAACTTTAATTGTTGAGAATATTTTAGCTTAACTGTATAGCCATTTTGGGCATGTAGATTTTATCTTGGATTTAATTTTAATCCATCAATTTTTTGAGAAGTCTCCTAGATTGGGATCACTTGAACTTGTCAAATTGGATGAGTTTGGGAACTAGACAACTCTTATCATCAGTCTAACAAGATGAGAGCTCTCTTACTGTGGTTGTCTTTTATGGCTTGTTGAGTAAGAAGAGCTTGCTCCTTCACTGCGTCCGTTTTTGTGTTTTATTGAGTGAAGTGAGCTGTTTGCGACTCGACGATTTTTGGGCTTGTTGAGTCTGACTTTTTTGGCCCACTTGCGCCATAGATTTGAGCTATGGTGGTACTCGCATCTTTTCAACTTAACTTGCAAAAGCTTGCAAATCTCAAAGTCTTCTCAGTTGAACCTTTTTTGTTAATCAAAGAGAAAACAATTTTAAATTTTCACATATATTTTGCTTGATAGCAAAATTATTAAGCAAATACTTGGGGATCTCGGCATTGAAGCACGATGTCAACCCAAAATGAATGAGATCCCGATGTTATGCATGGCGTCAACCCTTGTCGTTGAGGATCTCAATCATAAGCTTGTTGTAAGTCCCAAAAGAGGAGCCCATTGTCTGATTAAACACATTTGAGGATTTCAGCGTTCAACACGATATCAACCCAAATAAACTAAAAAATACCGTCTTATGGGGGGATTTTGTGATCAGCTAGAAACAGATATTTCCTGTGATCTTTATGAGCATGATTCAGAGCTGAGGGGAAGAAAATGATTATTTACTATCAGCTGGTTTATTTTGAGTAGTGCTTGACTGTTATTTAACTCAATTATTTCCTTCTGAAAAATTTATTTTGAAAATATTACTTGATTTTTTCGGTTGGAAAACCTTTATGGTGGTTTATTTTTATCAGCTGTAATTTTCTAATTAAATGCAGATTCGCACCTTTTTGATTCGCAATGGCTTATCTATACTTTTCAAAGATGGCCCATCAGCTTACAAGACATACTACTTAAGGTATGTTTTTATTTTTCATGTTTTGTAGATAATAATATAGCAATATGATATATTTTGCTTCTCAATTAAGGTCAGTTTACATTAATATCTTCATTTTATGAAATTGTGTCGTACTTTGAGCATTCATTGCGAGGGCAGCAGTAAGCTGATGGGTTGAGTTTAGCTAGGTCCTTTTGAAAAAGTGTCTATCATTGTAAAGTGTTTGATTGGCTGTAAGTGCGAGGATGTGATGTTTACACTTTTGAAATTGGAAACTAAAATAAATCAATTTTAAAATGATGACATTCACTTTCTTTCTATTATTTTATTGTGTAGAAAGTGGAAGTGATTAATGAACTTAATAAAGTTATGTATAGATAAAACACACACACACACACACACACACAGTTAACACGAATCATTCGATTCCTGCTCTGCGGATCAAGAAGCAAAAAAGTTAGACCCACTGTTCGACTCTGAGCTCTATGGGTATTGTTCCTTCTCAACCACCGACTACTTCAGTTTCAAACCTTGGAAATGCTTCTTTTGTTGATATGGTTGGCTCTATGGGATCAAATTAGGTTTTTCCTCAGATTTACCATGAATCATTCGAAGGCCAGGAGGACCACAACCTTATCAAGAAGACGGGTAGGAAGAGTGGTAAACTGGCTCTATTATTCTCTGTTGCTGAAGTTTCCAACCTGGTTAACAAGTTCAAATTCACCCTCATTGGGAAGTTCCAATTGGGACATCCCAAAATGAAAATCGTTCAAAAGACTTTTGAAGACCTCAAACTATTGAGACTCTGGAAGGTTGGCCTCTTTGATGGAAGACATGTGATGATACAATTATCTAAAGTGGAAGAATATGCCAAAATATTTTCCAAAAAGTTTATGACAATAGAGGGAAAATATATGAATCTACTTAAGTTGTCTCCTGAATTTGACCCTAGTCAAGAATCACATATAGTTTCAATCTGGTTTAAACTACCTGACTTAAAGTTGCACTACTTCAACCACTAAGTCCTCTATTCTGTCGGAGCTGCACTAGGGAGACCTATGAAATTGGATGCACCCACCTTCAATCTAACCAGGCCTTCGGTTGCAAGAATTCTTGTTGAAAGGGATGTTGAAAAATTCTTGTTGAAAGGGATATCACCCTCTCTGATGTGGACGAAGTATGGATTGACACTGCCCACAATGGGTATTGACAACCAATTATAACTGAACAAAGACCGTACTACTGCAATCACTGTAAACTGTTTGGGCACACCCCTATCAAATGCTTCAAGCTTCACCCACATTTGAGATCGGCAGGTCCTAACAACACCTTCAATGTGGAGGAAATATAGCAGACGCTGTTAATCTTCCAGAAATGTTGAATGAGAATTTGACTCATAAGGCTACTCCTCACTAACCAGACCAACAACTTCCGCCTACTATTGTTGAGGCAGCTCTTCGTTAGATTACAAATTCTACGAATTGTGTTGTAGCAGATGCTAGCCGAAGTGCCTTGGATCCACCTATTGCGAGAGAAGAGGATACTCATGTTATGGAGGAGTGTTAGGATCAAGGTGTGTTGTAGTCTGAGTCAGATCAACAGTTTACCTCCATCGAAGATCCACCTATTGTTCACACGAGACTTCCTCTGGATGATGATTGACATGTTTACAAATCTAGGAAGAAGAAGAAAGAAATGCTAGATCTCAGTATCTCTCAGGATGACTGTATCATTGTTTCGGGCGGAAGCCCACATCTCAGTATGTTGTTGTACTCTCTCTCTAGAATGGGAAGGGGAAGCGGTAGATCCACCGATTGCACCCACCATGATTAGGAGTTGTTTCTTTTTGTTTTATTTTTTGGGGAATACGTTTGTAATCCCTGTGAGTGGGATCTTTATACCCACTCACTAAAACCTTTGTATCTTCCTTTTTTATGAATGAATTTTTCCTTTTATATATATATATATCGCGTCCTGTGGTCTGTTGGTAGAGCAACCTTTTAATAGATCGTAAATTCTCTCAGGTTCTGGGTTCGAATCTCGCTTTAAGCCAGGTGGTTCTCGAATTATTTGCACACCGGGTCGCCCCCAGACCTAGCGGGGACTGAGCCCATAATGGTGGGTTGGGGACCTCACACCCCGACCTATTATTTCAATATATATATAGAATGAAAATAGCACCGCATTCCCAGGTCAGTTGGTAGAGCATCCGCTTCAGCGGTGTAAGTCCCCTTTTTTCTGGGGTTCGAATCCCACCGTGTGTAGGGTTTGATACTCGAGTGTTTAGGTGCATTAGGGATGACCGGGGCTCGAGTAATAACCTTTCGCCATTCCTTAAAAAAAAAGGAATGAAAATATTGTAATAAGAAAGTGATTTAAATATAAAAAGGGCAATTTAGAAGAGTTGTTAGAGAAAATGATGATTACGCTGGCAAGAAATAAATAGAGTGGAAGCTTGTGGAACTAAATCACTAGATGCATTAAAAATTGCAAACTGTCATTTGGATCTCTTACTTGAAGTCTGGTGAGAACAGGTGAGTGAGGAAATTTTTTTTTCTTGATTCATGCCTCCCCTGATTTATAGAACCTAAAGCCTCCACTAGTGAGTCAACGCTAGGTGTACTCTCGTATGACTGTAAAGCATCATGGACATAAATTTGAGGGATAATAAGAGTTGTAGAATGTGAGTTGGGATCAACGAAAAACACTTGGCGGTGGAGTAGCCATCATTGAAATCGGAGCAACTACAAGAGCCTAAAAACTGAAAGGAAAAGCCTGTTCTAGGTTCTAATTGCAGATTTGCTCTTGTTGAGATGCTTCTAGATTGATTACGAGCTTAGATCTGGTGCTATTGTAGCACCTCTTGTGTTTGAAAGTTGTCTCTTTAATATGGTGGGCCTTAAAAAGCTTTTTGAGAAATTATGCTTAAAAATTTCCAGAATGAGCAACAAATTGAGATGCCTTCAAATTTCACATTCGTTCAATATCTACATGTAGAGGAGCCAATCCACACTTGTTTAAAAATTTTTATCTAAAGGATGATATTGAAGTAAAGAAACACCTAAAGAAGTGAAGCAGCACCTAGTACATGCTACTGATGGAGACCTTATTTTTCGCTGAGCTCGAGCATCTCCATTGACTAGCAGGAATCAGAGTGGCTCCTCCACAATATTTTTTATACTCAATTTCGGCGCAAGGGAAAGTTTGCAATATTATCATAGATGTTGATGAAAACTTGGTACCCACAAAATTGGCAGAAAATTAAACCTCCTGGTTCACCTGAAAACGTACCAACTATTTTGCATAATTTGGTTATGCAAAGAAAATGAAATTGATGTTTTGTGTAATTTTCTATTCGTCACAAATTGTATAAGATGGTTTGATTCGTTGCTATCCTTATGGATGCATGCCACCAGGCTTTGGCATTATAATGGACCGTTGAAACAGGTTCATATCTCTTTTTTGATAGTAAAGCTTCTCCTTGATCCCAAAGAATTCTTAATCAGGCTCTCTGTTTTTCAAATTCCTGTTCATTGCTTCGTTTTCTTATTTTTCTTTGAACATTGTTTTGCTCTCTTTTTTTATTAGCTTCATAGGTGGCTTCCAAGCAATTGTGGGCGTCGGAAATGGACTCTTGATGAGGGAGGCTCACAGATAGGGCAACATCTGTACAACAAGTGATTAGCCATCAATTCTTGGATTCCTAAATCATTTTTTCATCATTTTGAAATCATAATTCACACACATTGGGTTTTTGGAATTCCGTCCATACTTAAATAGCGAACAACTTTGGGTGTAGGGCGTAGAAAACAAGAAGCCCTTCAATCCTGATTTATCAGTGGCTGTTGAAGTGAATGCAATAAGTGTCCCAGTTAAGAAACAAACCAATTCATGCCGGCATTTGAATCTTGAAGTCCTAGAAGCAGCAAAAGTTCTAGAATTTCACATATCCTGTTGGAATTGTAGCACTACTGCTATTAGGAACCTCCATATTTGCAGTTCTTCACTAAGTGGAAAATGTAAATCATATTGGTGGTTGTTTTCGCCCTTTGTTCATGCCAAACATCGTGATACTTTGGGATAGTGAAGGTATTTGTAATCAGATAACTCGAAGCTAGCTGTAAGTCACTTTATTATTTTTTTGATTATCTTACATTGTAGTTTTAAGATTCGATAATCTTTAGGATTTGATTAGACATTAGTATTTTTTTTCTTACGTTATTAGTGTCACTTAATCTCAACAGATAGGATGCAACTGCACCTTACTTTTAAGAGAGTAAAGGTGACATTTTTTCAACCCACACGACAAAAAGTGTAAACACAACATTAACTTTCTCTTGAATTTTAGTGGAGACCGGATGATTATCTCTAAATTTTTCTAATTTTAATTTCAAAAAAGATCTATGAATGAAAATATAACTTACAAGGGTATGGAGTTACAAATTGATTAAGCTAAACTAGGTAAAAAAGCTTTGATGGATGTTCTTAGAATTTTCTTGATTTTTCACTCGAAATATAACATTTAAGATGTCATGATGTCCTCCTCCTCTTAATTTTTTCATCACAGACATTTAATATATTTGGCCCTTGAAACCCCATCAAAAGCAATACGAAACTTTCTCAAAATTATCTCCAAAATTTGGTCCAAATAGTTAACAATACTTTTTAATAGCTAGTCAAAATAGTCTTTTCATTCATATAAACAGGATACTGAATTGGAGTCACACTAATTTCTTCCACGTCATGGGTCAAAGTTTTGGGTGCGTCTTTTGCTTTCTACATATGTAAATTTAACTTCTATATATCAAATCATATATAAACAATTGATGAATCTAACCTGATCAAATTAAGTTCAAATTTATGATGTATAAGATAATTAGGTGTTTAACTTATAATTAACCTTAATTAAGAGATTAGTAAATTAAATGGAACATGTGAGATCATGTAAACTTGATCACACCTGAAATATTTAATTAATAAATGTTAACTATAATGAAAACACATGAAATATTTAATTAATG